AGAGTGCTTGAAAATGTGCCCCTGAGTCTGTGTGCTCTTGTTTATGCCAGCACAGTTCTCAGTCCCACATGTTGTGCTGCCCTTTGAAGGGCTGACCTAGTTTACCTTTCCAACAGTAGTGACAGAGCAGAGCTACTCAGTTACAGGGCTAAGGCCAGAGCAGGCGACAGAGAGCAGCGTGTTCTGCAGAGCCAGTCTACAGTAGCCCAAGAGCTCTGCTGAGCCACAGCAGTGCTTTGAAGGCCTTCAATGAACACCCACTAATAAAGCTTGGTGCCCAGGCCATAATGCTTTCCACTTTGTGTTCATCCTGATTTGAAATACATTTTCTTTCCCACTAAAGGAAAAATATATATTAGCTTGCAGTTTTCTTTTCAACTGTTTTATTTTAGCAGAGCTTTTGATGACTGAAGTTGCTGTAATGTGCCACAACAATAGTACAATAACAGGAATGGCATTGGAGCATATTTTTGCATGAGTGTGGCAGGAGCGGCCACACCAGATTAGATCATCCATCCACTCAATAATGTCTGGCAAGAGCAAGCACTTCATCCAATAGAAGTAGGTGGTTTCTCTGCTTCACATCCCCATCCCACTCTAAAACCCTCTTACCTCTTCCAAGTTTTGGTAGAAAAGTGCCAGAAGAAGGGCAGTCTGCAGCTTCTCTCGCCTGCTCTGGGATAGATCCTTGATCTGACGCTTCCTCTCATGAATGACATCCAGTTTGTGCTGAATCTTTTGCCCTTCTAGTCCATCAGCCTTTTCCAACCTGCTTGCCTGTTCTTGAAGAGACATCATCTGAGGAGGCAACAGATCTGAAATTACCTTCATGCTTCCAAGTGGTGTGAAAGAAACAAAATCAAGGTCCTTTCATAGTTAAAATACTCTCTTTTTTTCTGTAATGAAGCAAGAAGAGCAGGGAGAAGCCAACCAGCATTCCCCCTCACCCTGTACTATGTTACATCTATGACATTACTGTCATTGGACTCTATGGTGCATCCTGGCTACATAAATTAATTAAAGTTGTAGCTTCAGGAGTCCCTAGGCCACTGATTATCTAGTGCAAGGAGTAATGGAGTAAGCATGACATCCAGGAGTGCTCAGATTTTATTGCTTTCTGGAAACCAGGTGTTGTAGTGTAGCTCTCAAAATGAGCAATCAGCCTGGCAGGGAGCTGGCAAGAGTCCTGGAGTTCATTCTGGGGAGCCCAGGCACAGCTGCAGGTTTCAGCTGAGCCCTAGCCCGGGTGAGTTACAGCAGTGGCCACCAGCCAGACAGACTCCTTTACACACAGGTGAGCAATTCAGAAGCTATTGCAAAGGTGCAGAGAGGCTGCTTTTTTGGTACAGCTGTTGTACCAAATGAATATTTAAAGAATTTGACAACTTCTTTTAATGTTAAAATGCCTACTGCATTTTGTAAAATATCTACTCTATTTTACTTACTTTAAAAGTCACTATTTTTTAAAATAAAAAGAGCAGAAACTTCTGATATCCATAATACAATATGGCCTGCTTTAAATATTTCCTCTTGTTAAGTCCCCGTGTTCTGCTTACAAAGTGGTTTTCCTATCTGTTGCAAGGACTTGGACATGGAGTGTTTTGACAGTTGTTCTCCAATGCTCTGCCTCTTATTTCCCCAAGCTTCTCCATTTTATCTTTTGTTCAAACATATGAGGCCTATCAAGCATTTCATCCCTGTCACCAATTCAGAGTATTACCATAATTACAAAAAAAAGCATATCTATAATTTTAGCTCATTGAATTCTAGCTGGTAGAATATCAGTTGTTTATTTTTTTACCTTCTCATCCTGTGATGACAGAAGCTTCTCAAAAGCCTCATGTTTCCTTATCAGTTGCTCTATTTCATCTACAGACCTTCCGAGGTCACTGCTTTTCAAATAAACCTATAAAAAAAGTTTATTATTTTTCTCAGTGAATCAATTATCCCATAATCTTGATTCATAAATGGGAGAAGAGGTATTAAGTCTGCTGCTGAGAGTACACTTGAGAGTGGAAAAAAGGAAGAGGAGGCAACGGAAGCTAGAAATTAATTGTTAGAAGTCCATGGTCTTGAGCAAGAAAGAGAAGCATTAGCAGGTCTAGCTAAGGAAAGTGACCTGTCAGTCCTTATTAATCACTAGGTCACAAGGCAGTGAATTCCAGAAGTCTACAAGCCATCCTTGTAATCCCAAGCAAGATCACTGTCATGTCTGACAGATGTCCAAATGATTCCTTCTTAGAAGAGTTCCCAAACCAGAGGCTTTGCAGCCTGTTACCAGGGCTTTATTACCTCAGCCATTAGCAGGATTTTCCAAACACCAAACAATGGCTATTGCTACACCTTGTTACATACTGCCCTCTCAACCACACTCAGGAGATCATTCCTTTTATGTTTGCTTCAGCCTAGAGCATGTTTATAGACCTTTTTCATACTCGGATTTCTGTCTTCTCAAGGTTAAACTACAGTGATTGACTGATCATTCCACAACAGCTGTGGTTTTTTTGATTCTCATTATTCTTATCGCTCTCCTCTGGGTTTTCTCCACTTCCACTTATTTTGAGACTTGATGTAATAAGTGGCAAGAAGCAATAAAGCTGCCAGAGTGAAGGCTGGGAAGACAACAGAGTGACTTTCAAGCTGCAATCTTCAGCGCATGTCTGCATATAGTGCTTGTCTTTTATACAACACCATGAACTCAAGTTCACCTTGCAATTTACTATGAGCTTCCAGAAACTTTTCAGAAGTGCTGTCAGACCAGCTTGTCCCCATCCTGTATTTATGCAGCAGATCCTTCCTGAAAAAATGTCATAGCTGGCACCTGTACCAAGTGAATGGCACCTGTCATTTTCTCAGGCCATCATTCCAACCTATCTGCATTAATATTTTTTACTGTCTGTTCTGCCCATCTGATGCAGAAAGACTGCATTCAAAATTACAAATAACAAATGTGGTTTTAAAGAATCTGACCTCTGCACCTTTTAACACTGTGCAAGTGTGCACCTTTTCCAACTAATTCACACATGTTTCAAAGGCATTGCATTGCTCCCTTTCTCTGTTCTGGTGTTAAGAGAAATGAATGCCCAATTATTTGTCCCATACATTCTGTTATACTCAGTTTTGCCAAATGCAAAATAATAAATATAGTTATCAATTATCAAGAAAAAATTATGCTTTTCTGCAGGCTGACAGGAATTTATTCTTTTTCATTGGATGCAATTGCCCACAGACTTTCTCTTCAGTGATGAGACAGCAGCAGGATAAAATCCCCAATTACAGGCTCTGATGGGACATGAGCAAGGACTACTCATAGATAAGGTTCACACTGAAGTGTCTGTGGCTGGACAGACTTTGGGAAATCAGCATGCTGTGAGTGATGGCATTTATCAGTAGTGTGTAATGCGCAATCCAATTTTTGAGCTCATGGAATCACAAGTATTTGGACAAGGATGAGAAATTCCAATCAATAACTTTGCCTGGGTAAAGTGCAATTAACAGAGATGGAAGAAGAATTCGAGATCAGTGATACAGTGTGAAAGAATCAAGAGGCAGGAATGAAACAGAATCAGTGAAACAACACAAATGCTAAACGTTTTGGAAAATGGCTAGTAAAGGACATGGGTAAATCTGTGCCTTTAAGCCACAGATGTGCACAGGAACAAAAACCATTTAGAGAGCTCACTCTTGCTTTGCAAAGCATCACAATCCTGTAGCAGTCTAACAGCGTGGATTTGCATAAGAGGTAAAAGATGTTCTTTGAAAGGTGCTCTAGAAAACCAGCCATGATGTTCATTCTCTGGACAACTGCTTAACCCCACAGAGCATCTTCTGTAGGAGAAGCTTCCTAAATTTGAACACATGTGCAGGGTAATCCACACCTACTTGCCAGGGTCTGACTGCACCAAAATGCCCTGGATGGACCCCTGCTCCCATCTGGGAACCTCTCTGAGGCTTAGCCCTGAACATAATGTATTTTGGTGTTTTAAACCTTGCTTTAAAAATACTGCAGCTTCTTGATACATTTTGTGGCTTATCTACCATTTCTGGTCAAAAAAGATTTATCTCCAAGACTTTTATTTTGTAGCTGTTAGCAGTGAAACTGATACCTGAAGCTATTAGTTTTCCTGCTTGTATACCTCTGATGGAAGAAAAAGGCAAGAAGCAGCTACTGGTGAAGATGGTTATTTTCCTTAGAGAGAGAAAACAGAGACATCTGAGAGCAGGGGTGTGGGGTGGTGACTCATAAGCAGCTGCCATCAGAGAGCTCAGTGCCTTGCTCCCACTGAAATCCACTGAGCACAAATGACACTTGGCATTCAAAGCTCAATTCCTTTGGATGTTACAGCACTGAGAAAAGGTCCTCCTGACTACTGAAAGCTTTGGACTAAGCCCCCAAGCAGAAGTCTGTGCAAATGCTCTTGGCAACCAAAGTTGTGACACTGAGTAGGAAAACTGGTGCTCAGAAAGAAAATTGCTGCAAAAGGGACGTGGCTGCATACATTGCAGGGTAGGGAATAGCAATGTGCTCAGAGGAGAGCAGCCCCTGTAGCACCAACAGTGCTGCTGCCTGGAGAGCTGCTGAGGCAAAAAATTTCCATTTGTATTTTACACAGAACTCTTACAACAGCCATTGCTATAATCAGAACCACAACGTTTCAAGCAATTGTTATACCAGTCTGAAAGCAGAATAAAAATTGGCTCCCATGCCACAGTGCTGGCCTGTCACCAGTAACATTTTGGCTCACTTTTAGACAGGTCTCCTAACTCCTGCTCTGAATGAGACACTTTGATTTCAAATACAAAACACTGCATAGCTCTCCTCAGGTAACATACTGAGGTCTCCCACAGAGTACAGCAGGTATAAACTTTCTTTCAAGTTTGTTTCTGTTAGGCATCATGGCCCATCACTGGGAATTTAATATTCAGACACAAAAAGCACAAAAGACTCAGCCACTCACTATAAAACAAATTTGTTTTTAAGTGAAGACTTCCAAAGATGCTTAAAACCACAAAATGGTTTTTGAGATTTCTGAGATTTTCTGGAATAAATTTTCAAGTTACTAACATTGTAAACCATGGAGCTTTCCTTGTTTCTGGAGCTTTTCCTTATTTCTGAGTTCATTGCATAGCTGCTGCATTTTTTGTACAAGTTAATGCAGAATTAAAAACAAAGTCCAATTAAGAAAAAAGTAATTTTAAATAAACCGATGCTATTTACATAGTATGTGACAGCATCTGCCAGCTCCAGCTTTTGGAGAAACACTGAATGAAACATTTCAGTCATTAACTACGTTCCAACTTGAAACTGGACTCCACAATTTCACATTTATATGCACTGGAAAATGACACAGCCCCAAAATAAATTTTTATTCCAAGAAGAGCAGCTTTTATTTCCCTAGAATAAAATATATTTTAGGTATTTGTGCAAATCCACTTCCTTCTTCTGCTTTTTCTCTTCCAAGTATAACAAGCTCCACAGATTTTGCCTCTCACTGCCTGTCATGGGCTTGCTGCTGAGATTGCTGGAAAACCACAGAAAATCATTCTGCTCTAACCATGTACTAGAAGTCTGAATTGTTATCAGTTTTAAAAACCTTCACTTAAAGCATGTAAGCAAGTCCAAACTATCTTCCGAGACAGAGAAGAATAAGGTGTGGTTTGACTTAATTCTGATAAAAGTAAATACTAAAAGTACTAATGAAAATAATCTGAAATTTGCTTCAGCAAATAAGTAACTGTTCTTGATACCATGACTATATAAGGTTCACAAAAATGTTTTACTATGCTTAATTTCAGTAAAAGTTGTAAGAAGGTATCATACTATTACAAGAGCAATAAAAGATACTAAAGTTGCTTATAAAAAGAAAACATACATTTTTTCTACCATGGTGACATCATTGGCATCTGTCCTCACCATTTATATGCAAAATTCTAATGTTGAGTGTATTTAAAATTTCTTTCCCTCCCCCTACTGCATGTTGTCTCCTGGGCATAAGAATATAGTTATCTGATATTGGAAATATATATGGGAAAACACAGAGATAAAACTGCTGTTTTTCTTATAACTGCCCTAGTTGTTTCCTCACACCTATTTCTTCCTTCTTCAAAATTTGCAGTATCGATCCCTACCCTCTAAGTATTAGGTGTTATACCAGAATCTTACACCCATACAACATCATCATTTAAATATTTACTTAGGAAACATTTGTCTGAAAGCAGGCTAAATTCCTCTGAAACTCCCCATAGTTTCACTGCTGGAAACTTTGGTGGGATATCCAAATTTGACGTGCTGTGGATATTAAATTATCTTTGTTTCTTTTCCCTCAGGAAAGGGTGGTACCTCTCCTTTTCTAAGAAGGGAAAAAAGTGATTTCTTGCTACATACTTAAATGCTTTGGTTTTTGAAAACAAGCCTTGCTTTAAAGTTACAAACCCAGGAATTAACCATTTAGAAATACAGCATAATTTGACAAGTAAGGAAATGAAAACAGTGAAGCAGAAAAGAACTAAGAAAAACTACACTGAGGATTTTTTCCCAGGTCCCAGAGTGACTACAGAATTACAGAATTGACTAGGTTGGAAAAGACCTTTGAGATCATCAAGTCCAACCTAGCAGAGAAGAAAACCAGCTCTTGGTTCTAAAATCTTGAGTCTTCATAGTGCTGAGCACTATGGCCCAATCATGCAAAGCCTGTAAGCAGTTGCATGCTGTGTTAACAACAGCACTCAAATGGTTAAAATGAAACTCTTGTTAAGTGCTCGATGAGAGCAGAGTCCTTGTCTTCACTCAGCTGGATCAATCTGTAGCTGCAGCCTTGGTGACAGCAGAACACACGTGGCTTTCTTGTCTTGCAAGTCATCTCTAAGGAGCTGGAACATGGCATGGATGCATACAAAAAGAAATTCATATGGCTTGGTTAAACACAACTTAGATCTTCTGTTTGCAAATGTTCCTAGAATGGAATGCAAATCTTCACCACTCTCCTCCCAGTTCCAAAGGATGCAATGTTGACAGCAATAGATGGAGACCCTGGGTGCGCTGTGTCTCTGTGAGTTGAAGCTGTGGTGGGAGCTGGAATTTTTGTCACAAGGTTGTCAGGACATACACTTTTTACAGTGCATGTTTCCTGGGAAGGCCTCAAACCAGATCTTGTCCAGGGGCTAGAAAGCAATCCTGAGCAGCAAACAGGGTTTACTGACAAAGAGAGGCCAGCCCGAATCTCCACAGGGTGAAAGGGTGGGCCAGCTCTATCTGAATCATGTGTTTTGATAAAGATTGTTGGATTTGGGCTTCTTCTAAATTCTCTTACCACCTGGATAGGCATAGCAGTCCAAGGAGTGGCAAGTATCAAGGTGATTTTGGAAACCTTGTGGTGAGCAGGTGTTAGACCATCACATGGAGTCTTCCTAAACTCTGGCCTAGATGAGGGGTAATTCTGAAAGACAATCAGCTCTGGACTTAAATCCTTGCTCACGATCTCATTCCTGCTAGCTGAATTTTCTCTTCCAGTCAGCACAGCTGGGGACAGCCATATATCTCTGGATAAAGTCTGCTGGGGAAGGCCACGATACTTGGAGGAAGTCACATGAAATCTTGTGATTTGCAGAGCTGGAGACCCACCTGAAGGGAAACCTTGTTTTGGTTTCTGGGATCGTGTTGAAAGACCAGAGGGAGTTTCAGGCACCTTCTCTAATTGTGGCATGAGCAGACTTGAATGAGCATGACTGCTTCCATGGGAACCTGCTCGAAAAGGCTTTATCATCAAGCTGCACGTTGAAATGTAAAGCTTCATTGAAGTGTGGAGGTCTGACATTTGGACATTGCACTGGCTACAGCAATGTTGTTGGCGTGGCAGTGAATCACAAGGTTCCAGGGATGACTGCAGATTTTTGGTGTGGAGCATAGAAGCAGATGGAAGAGCAGACAGATCAACATTTAGGCGTGATGTCCAGCTTGACGGAGCTTTGCAGGAAAGAACATCTGAAGGCAAAGACAGAGCAAGCTTCAAGGGATCACTGGTTCCAGGGGAAATACGATGAGCCCTTTTTTCTCTTTTTGAATATTGCTTGTAAGATGCAGATGTTGACTGAGTGCCAGACGTCTCATATCCATGGTCCCAAGGATCCTTGCAAGCACCGGAACATGTGGATGTCTCATCAGAAGGACTGACACAGGGACTAGTGCTCCCAAAGCCTTTCCTCTGGTCTGTGTGTGTCAGGATGACATCTAGCCTTGAGCAGTAAGACACGCTGCTAGGTGGTGAGATGGCATTTCCTGGAGCAAGCTTGGCAACTGATTGACCAGCGGGAGGATGCCAAGCTGGCACTGGCATCTTTTGAAAAGGCTTGTCCTGCACGGCAGATTCAAAAGCGGGAGGTGGGGTCGTTCTACAGGAAGAGAGCAGCACTTCCACAGTGGAGATGTAGGTTGCAGATGAAGGTTTGCAGCAATGGTCCCTGTATGACATTCTGAAGCTTAGTCCTAAATGATGCACAATTCAAATCCACAGAGCTTGCCTTCCCCCCTGCGCTTAAAACCAAGTCCTAATCCTTTTTCCTTTGGCACTGGAAATTTCCATTCTTCCTCTGAAGCAAAGGAATGGGAGATGAACAAACATTCTCCAAGAAGAAAAATGCGAACAAAAAAAATCCACATTCAAAATAAAAAATCTCAGCTCTTCTAAAACTGCTACCACCTCCTGTCATGTCTGCAAAGTAATATGAGTGTGGGATGGGCTGAAAGATAAATTACGGAGCATACGGCTCTGCTCCCTGAGTGTTCTGACAGTGAGACTGCAGACAGAGTAGGAGGGAGCCAAAAGTGCCTGCCAGAGACAGCCTGCAAACTCGCTGTTATTTCATCTGTGGAAAAAAAAAGCAGCTAACCTGAGCAGTGGATCTGCTGCTGTGAAAAGATCAGAACAGAGCAGAGAGTATTGGACACAGTTTCTGCTCAAAGTAAAAAAAAACCTTTTTCCTTCTTTCCCTTTTTCAGCTGTTAATTGTCTGCACTCTGCATGACAAGATCTCAGTTTGCAGCTCTTACAAGAGGCTCCTAGAGAAGTTCCATTTGATGGCACAACTGAATTAACAACAATAAAAAAATTAAAAATTGATTTTGCCTAATTTTCTTCACATGTATTCTATTTTCTTAGCACAGAACAATGGTAGATGATATTCTGCAGAAATCTTTTGAAGGCTTAAGTAACTTGGATGTAATATAAGATGCTGGCTTAAAGTCAAACTTGTAACAGTGGCACAGACAGCGAATGAAAGAGCAGTTCTTAGTAGTAATTCTTAGTTTAAAATACTCCTCTGTTACCTTCTTCTTTCGCCTGTTTCTTGCTTCTGGTCTATGACACATGAAGTACAGCCAAAATAGGATTGACAAGTTATGGCATGCTTTCTTACACAGATGTTTTGCAGACATAAAAAGTGAAATGCACATAACAGCCTTAACTCAAACACAAAAGTCAGAAGAAACAAAAAGGGTGGAGAGATTGCTTCTATTTGTTTGCCTGATAGGAATCCTTTTTGAATGCGTGTTTGCTTTTGTTCTTTCTGAAAGCAGCAAATGACTAAATTCCTATTGGGAAAATGGTTTGAAATTCTTCAGCTGATGTCCTGGCTGAGTTCTTTTTTAAAAACATGTTTGAAAAAAAACTGCTTTCCTAGCATCCTGCTTGTCTGTATCACTATGCAGACACATTTTAACTCTATACAGTAGTAACAGAGTTCAATCCAAAAGAAATAGATTTCTCTTCCAAGAGTTCTTCAACTGCAGAAAAGTGAAATACAAGTAGTGACTAAGGAACATCATTCCGCTGTCAAATTGTTTATTCTGATCTACATGGCAGATGGCAGCAGCTGCAAAAGACAGCTTGACTGTAAAGTGTGGTCTGTGTGAAGAGCTGTTGCAAGAGACAGCCAAGCATCCTCACTTTACTGTTCCACCTTCTGGATGCTTAGTGTCAGTGCGAAAAACTGAGCACCAGGCTCCTTTGAAGTTCACAGAGAGGATACTGTGGGAAAAAGATTCTGATAACAGAACTGCTCTTCATGGTCCTCAAGGTCACAGTCTTCATTCTCAGGCTTTGTTTGGCTGAAGAAACTTCTGGTTTCTGATTCCACCAGGAGAGTTTACCTAGCTTCTGATGAACACCAGCCCTCTTGTGGCAGTCTACGTCACAACCTATGGCAATGGCAAATTCATCCAAACAAAGAAATAATGTGAAGTGCCACTGACCTGTAGAGAAAGTGCTGGGGCCATACCAGAAATGCCAGGTGCATTATCCTTTCATATCGTTTCATGTATGAGTAATACAGACTTTTGCAACCAGGAGTCACAACTGAGGCTCAAAAAATCACCTATTCACAGTAGCTTCCCACACATTTACCCCTGCATTACACAGAGCAAAGCAGGTGCTGTAGTGATAGTGCCTCCATGTATTGGCTGATATCCGTTTAATGAAAAGAGAAAAAAATACAGTGGCCAAATTTTTGTAGTGTTTACATTTTCCCTGATAAGCTCCCATACAGGAGCTTAACAATGAAGTATCACTGCTTGGTAGGGAATTGAGGTAGATATAATGCAAACCATGTCATTTGCTATATAAGCAACAAATAGTGGGCAGAATTATGTAATATTTTACACCGAGGTGAAACTTTCTGCTTCACGCTACAAAATCCAGAATGTAGGTCACATTTTTTAAAAGGACCAATTATAAAGAATTATATAGACATGCATTTACTTCAAGGAAGGAGTAGCAGAAATCTCCAGGCCCATGTGCTACAAAGGGTGAAGTATCATTGCATGGCACAGCTCAAAGTCAGTTTCCAAAAGGATTTAGTGACAGTAGTTAGTGCCAGTGGAAAGCACTGGTGGAAAATCGAGCTCAGTGCAAAATAAGAGCCATTATATTTTGCTTTCAGTGGTCTTGGAGAATTAAGAATTATTTTTCCTTAATGAAAAATGACCCAGAGGTGCAACCTCCTCCAGCATTGCACCAATCCTTCAGTTTGGCAACCTGCAGCCCATTGATGTAGTTTGTATGCCAAGTCTCAGCACAATTGCAGCAATCTATCAATTAATGAATTTTCAGAGTGACTGCACTCAGTTTTGTAATAGCAAATGCCAGATCTCAAAATGGAACCTTTTGAAATAGTTACACAAATCAAAGAAAGTGCAAGGAAGACAAAACATAATTCAAGAATGCTGAAAAAAAATCTATTTCAAGAGCTGCAAAATGCTGATAAAAAGAACGTCCTTCTGTCTCTTTGCACTGATTATATCTGCCCTCTTTTTTTCATGAGGAGGCCTTTTTCACTAGTTTGGTTTTCTCAACTGCATCAAACAGAAGATAATGCTCCTTTCATTGTTGTTCTACATACTCCTATCAATGCCCTTGCAGAACTGAGAAGTTAATTCACTTCCTGTATTATCTCACACTGCTGACATCCATTTCCCTCCAGCTGCATTTTTCCAGCATAACTCTCAGCCTGAGGTGAGAATTCCAGCAACACCTGCAAAGTAAAATCCCTTCAAACGCTCTTTACAATTTCCTTTCTCTTTGAATCCTACCAAGTTTGTCAGTGGTTAAGCAGCTGGCAAGCTGAGATCTGTTTGTAAAGTGGACTAATATTGGACTCTTGTCTCCCTCTTCTGTTGTGATGCTCACATGTTCCCTCTTAGGTATATTTGCAGTGAATTATCTTTCAGGTAAGGATCATCTGCTTGTTTCTGTTCCACACCTCAGCCCCATGAGAAAGGAAGGCTTCTTGCACATTGCTGCAGTCTCCAAGTGATACCACAACACAAACAATACCAATAAAAGAGACTGTCTTTTCTGTACACAGGCACAGGGATTTCAAGCTGTAGGTGAACACTAGTGGCACTTTTAGTCTGAAAGAGTTTACATGCTTGAAGGTTTCAGCTGCTTATTTCAAGTTTATAATTAACTCACCTCCTGTGAGTTCAGGAGCATGTCAAGGTGATCCCAATCCTTGTAGAACATTTGTTCTTGGTGTGTTTTTTCCAGCCACTCCTTCTTCTGTCTCCATGCATTGTATACATTTTTCTTCTCTTCCAACAAGGCCTGTAGCTTCTGCTGAATCTGAAAAAAAATTCCAATTAAAAACTTGTGTTGGTCTTTATATCCCATGATCCTGGTAAGTTGACAGAAGAGAGGATTAAGTGGAGTGGTGGATAATGCCTTTAAATGGCACAAATTTATTAAACAGAAAAAAACCCCCAAACAGCTAGAACAAGTTCTAGCACTTCTGTTTGGGCACAGAGATAATCAAAGGTGCCTCATTTCTGCAATGGAGAAGTGCTTCTTAGAGCATATATAACCAAAAGCAAAGAAAGGTAACTGTTTCTCAAGTGTGACTTCTAGCATCAGATCCTAATTTTTCATTATCTTTAAGCATTAAGAGTGCTGTTTTAGCACTTCAAACTTTTATATTTTAGATATTAAAATAAAAATTATCAACATAGCATAATTTTCTAGTCAGTGAATTCATGCCACAAGGCTAGACTTTATTCAGCTTTCAAACACTTCCATGAATTATTTTTTTCCTGCCTTTTTCTACAGGCAAAGGACTTCAACGTCGGCAAGATTTCTAGCTACCATAGTCATACAGAGCAATATCCAGCAAATTTTCAGGAAATAGCTTGTGAGATGGGAGAGTAACTTGCATAAACTCCGCATTTTTGTGAAGGTATTCAAGAGACATGTAAATGAATTATCAGGGGAGAAATGAGCTGGTAGGTACTGGAAAAGAAATAAATGCTGTGAGAATCTTAGAAGCGATTTGTCTTGAGTCAACTGACATTTTGATTTAAATCTTTCCAGGGAGTGTATTTTACTAGTGTATTTTCTAGTGTAATGTTTTTCTACAGAAAATGTTTCAATCAATCTTTAAATTCTCTCATATATTTGAGTGTTTTCATTCTTTGGTTGACAGGATTTTGTCCAGACTGTCCTGGTGTGGGTATACCCCGGTAATACAAAATGTAGCACTTGTTTGAAAATCCAGTTTGGGAAGTTTGTAGAGTTGACTCTGTGGCTCAGAACATGGTGAAATTCTTGAAGAAGTCCAGATTTGCTGCAGGGGGCCTTTAGGAAATGCCTCTACACATCTGCTGCTGGAGTTAGAAATGAAGCAGATGTTTTTATGCCCAAGATAGGTCACATACTGAGGCAAATGTAGGTCATGCACAGGGACCAGTGAGTATGTGACTTGTATCTCACAGTGTGATAAAATACAGAATCCTGGTTACCTTGGGATGCAGTGCTGAACATGCATGACTGAGCTCAGAGGAGTTTCAATTACCTCTTTTGATGGCATTTCCTCATCTTGCAAGAGGGACTGTCCTAGCTGTACAACGTGACTGTACTTCTCCTCTCGTGCCTCGATCTCTGCCAGCAGCTGCTGATGCTGGGTGAGTCTCAGGCTGCTGGTAGATATGTCCCGAATAGACTCCTTGGCTCTCATTTCCCTTATGATTTCTGCTGTCCATAAGAAATAGTCCCACACCTGGAACCCCAGAAAATATGAAAAATCAGGTTCGGGCTCAAACTTAGGTTAGCAGGTAGGAAAATCTAAGGCTGACTCTTCAACTTTAAGTGAATAATAGGTAATAAAATAATAGATAAATAAAATATTTCATTAGTGCTTGCAGTATTTCTATGAGTTTTATAACGATGGACAATACGACTACAGGAATTCCTATATACTGTGTTACATGATTTATAGTATCATAATCAAACTGTCAT